AAAGGATTGAAATGCCCAAACAAAAGAAGCAATAGTTTCATCCAATAAAAATGCACAACCAAAGAAACATTCTTCCAATGATGATTCAAGTCAACGAAAGGTGCACATATCATATTGCACTTATTTGTACGATGAGTTGTATCAAATACCAACACATCTCCAAAACTTTCATAGTCCAGCTTGGATACACCATCAAACCAAAAAAAGTTGGTTTGTCTTTGTTCCTCATCCAGTTGAAATGTATATGAAAAATTGCTTCCATTTGATTGTAAGAAATTAAAATGATTAATGAGACTTTGACAATCACCCGCACTAATCAAGTCCCTTCTCTTCGATTGTAAGAAATTTTGACAATCACGTAAAGTAAAAGCAATATTCTTCTGTCCTCCCGCTTCACCACTCAGGTAAGAATACGCTTTCGTAGCCCTTATACCAGCTCCAGCCATTGAAGTCAAAATACTTTTATTAGTATCTATCATTTGCCGGTATGATCGTATCAAATGTTTCTGTTTATCGTCGATGAAAGGATGATTATAAACATCCTTAAACCTGTCGACTATCCAAACTCCACTTTCAATTTTGAATTTTATGCAAGCTTGACATTCAGTTCTCTTCACTGTCCTATAAACATCTCTTTGTTCATGAGGTGGGATTGGTGGAGTGTATCCTTCACAATTACAAAGAAATGTGCATGTTCGCAATATTCCTTTACTAGTGTTTGCCTTTTGTCCTCTTCTCACTCCAAATTCCTTGGAAATTGCATATGCATTGTATGTCTTATATGCTTCATCCTCATTAGCAAATATCATGCCAATTCTAAATTCAAATTCTTTATCAACATTATGCACGATGATATTATCCTCAGCAGCCTCTACAAATTATTAAAAGAAAAAATCTAGTCATTTAAATAAGGCATGTAAAAAAAAAAAAGATTGCGAAGTGTGCATATTTCAATCATAATAGAAAACGACATACTCACTTCGAGTATAAAAGATTGTGAAATTATCATAGCTTGGCTGGTTTCATTCATATTGATTACGGTGGGCGCTACTGCACTTTAAACTTTTGTCCATATGTCTATTCTATATAAACTTTAACTACTTAGTGCTTGTTTGGATTCACTCGGCTGAGAAGTTGTTGATGAATCCTACTATTGAGTATTTGCTTTTTAGTTTCCAATGAGAAAGTACTGCTTAAAGTGATACCTGGCCTATTCTAAGAAACAACAGAATTTTGACTTTTCTTTTTGTGCCTTATTGGTGCTTACGATCCTTACTCAATTCATGGGAGTGTGCATATTTCAATCATAATAGAAAAAGACATGCTCACTTCTTTGCAAGCCAATTCTGTTTTTGTCCTCGCTCTTCGTTATGCAGCCAACATGAACATTACTTCCTCCAACTAGGCAGACCAGACGGTCACAAGCAGAGCCCACGCCACGAGGCAGAGCCAACGGCCACGAGGCGGAGGCGAAGAGCCGTAGCTGACAGTCACGAGGCCAATGGCCACGAGGCAGAACGATTCGAGCGGAGCCGGCGGCCACAAGGCGAAGCCGATGGCAACAAGCGGAGCCAACGGCCACGTCGCGAAGGCGATAGGGCGGAGCCAACGGCGACGAGCGGAGCCCACGGCCACAAGGCAGAGCCAACGACCATAAGGCGGAAGCGACTGCCACGAGGCGGAGTCGACGGCAACAAGCGGAGCCGACGGCCACGTGCCGGAGGCGACGGCGGTGAGCGGAGTCCATGGTCACGAGGCGGAGCCGATGACCACAAGGCGGAAGCGACGGTCATGAGGCGGAGGCGACGGCGACATAGCGGAGCCGACGGCCACGAGGGGACAGGCCGTCCGCTATTAGCCGGAAGAAGGAAGCAAAGAACACAAGCGAAGATGAAGGAGGAAGGAAGGGAAACAATCTGGGAAGGAGAAGAGCTTCAGAAAGTGAGGGAGAGACATTTCATTCAAACATGAAAAAGAACGAGGAGAGAGGATGGCAATTAATGCTCGTGCCTTCCCTAGGTCTTCTTTGAGCGGGAATAGGTGTGCAGAGGAGAGAGAGCCTCCCATAATGGGGCTTTCTCTTTCTCCACGTCAGACGCCACGTGCCGATTTTTTAATGGATCCACACAAGCAAATATACATCACATGGGCAGGTGACGTGGTGATAGTAAATCACTGAATATTTTCTCCTTCCCGAGGGACGTTGGAAAAGAAAGGAGAGGGGCGGGGACTCCAAGAAGACATTTTTTTTCAATTTGTTTTTGCTCTCGGCCACACACACTCTATCGACTTCCTCAACCTCGCTTGACCAGCTGGCCACCATCACCATCCGACGACCTCCAACCGGCAGCAAGAGAGAGAGAGAGAGAGAGAGAGAGAGGGGTAACAATTGGGTGATGCTCTTGAGTAAGAGGGGTTTCGCAAGAGCGATGGAGTGAAAAAGAGAAGAACCAAAAAAAAAAAAAAGGAAAGCAGAGGGAGCGAGAGCAAAGGAGGGGCAAACATTTTTCTGATTTAGGTCCGCTTTCGGCCTCGCTCACCTCGCTCGGCCGGCTGTTCCCACCGTCACCGTCTGACAACCCTACTCCAGTGTCCTCCCTCTCCCAATTCCCAACATTTCCGGGTAAGTGATTCTAGTAATTCGGTATGTGTCTCTCCCTCCCTCCCGAGGGATCTTGGTTCGAGGACTTCGCGAGACGGTCGGCGGCCATAGCTCAAATCGCCTCAAGCTCGCCTTCCGGCCGCCATTTCCAAACTGAGTATGGACTCCCACAATTGAATGCTCACCTCGCATCACCCCTATCCCAGTTTTCATTCGAGTCTGAGGTTGAGGCCCGATATTTGTGTCGACTGCGTCCTTCCCCTCTTATGTCGAGCTTTTCCTGGTATTTTCTTTCGAACTGAGTCGGGTGCTCGTACCTCCAAATGGGTTAACTTTCTCCCCTCGACCCACCGCTCTCAACATGTTTGTTAAAATGCCTGAACCGAGCCTGTGTGGCGTGTTTCTTGGTGGGTCCGCGAAAATGGTGAGGGGGGTTTTTATGGAGGGGGATGGGGAGGAGGAGGTTGGAGGAGGCGCGAAATGAGGGCCTCTACAAGTGGATCTAACAAAGGGCTGAGGTGACGTCTGGTGGTGCGCCGAAGCGACAGCAGTAGTTGCTTTAGCAACAGGGGGTCGAGAGTGGCGGTGCATGGTTGTGTTGAGCCATGTGGGGGGGAGGCAGAAGGAGGGGAGAGGAAGAGAGAGAAGAAAGCACAAAAGAGAGAGAGAAAGTGAGGGAGAGGAGAGAAGTGGGTGTGAAGGTCGTGAAGATAGAGGAAGAGATAATTAAAGCAGAAAAGAGAGAGAGAGAGAGAGAAGTGAGTCAGAGGAGAGCAGTCGTGAAGAGAGAGAGTGCGCGCGTGGACGGAAGAAAAAACCAGAAGAAACCGAAATCCGATCCGAACCTTTAAACTAATCAATTCTCTTGTATTTTCGGTTTGATTTCTGACGCCCCTAATCACAGTAGGCTGACACCCAACCGTATGGTTAGAAGGATATCCATACCATTACCGAGAAGCCACCTCAGGAGAAGAGGGAAGGGATGATCGGTAGCGGCGCACACCCTACGACAAGTTCTTTATTTCACGATAAAATGTCTATCATGGACGTGTCATCGATAGTGAACCAACCATAACCGAAGGAGCATCGAGTCCTCGTTAACCGTAGGGTAAACAACGTTAACCGTAGGGTAAGCAACCATAACCGAAAGAGCATCAAGTCCTCGTTAACCGTAGGGTAAAAGGGAATTGAGAACACCATGAGCCGTGGGTCAAAGGGAATTGAGAACACATTGAGCATGAGATCGTGCACACCACGGCTGGAATTTCTTGGGTAAAAGAGCAAGCCTCCGGCACATTTGGTTCAGTGAGAACAGATACCGCATATGCTTTACTCTGTATAGAGCGACCTCTCCAGAAATTGTGGCCAATCGACTCCAGACTCACATGTGTCCGAGTCGACCCCATATATGTAAAATGTAATGTTGCCGGAAGGGAAAAACACTAGAAGTCAGGTATTGCAACGTCAAAACCCCTTGAATGGAAAACATCACGTGATGCTTTTTCCACAGCATAGATACTCCGTTTTAAGCAAGTCAAACGCATCTTATATCACAAAAAAGAAAGTGTAGCGCATGCCTACCCGCAAATTATATGCAGGGAATGAGAGGCGAGCTGAAAAAAAAATTCAGCAATCTTTGTTATTTTCTTTACTCAATGTTCGTCGAGAATAGTGTAAGGAACCTTGAAGAACCTAGAACAATAATAAAACAATAATCTTGCCGGGCAACAAATGCATCTATAAAACTCTACATAGAGGAGGATTTTCAAGTATATAAGCTGCTCCTATCAAAATATGGAAAAAGTTGCACAAAACTCCATGCGGATGGGGGCTCACTCTTTTTTATGCCCCGTCTGAGTTGACTCAACACATACAAGGGATAAAGCAAAATTACCAGACCTTGTGCCAAAAAAATCAGAACACAAACGTCATCAAGATTCTAAGATCATCAACTACAGTCTGCCTCCTTAAGCACAAGAACAAGCAAATCATTATTCTACATACAAAAAGGACAGATGCAAACACGAGCTCCGCAGATGCCAAGTATGTGATCCAGAGGACAATTACCTCGCGAACAAGTACAAGGAATAGGATACAACGTGTCTCGCATCCAAAATTTCACTCGCATTCAAAGCAAAAATTAACTCAACTGGTCAAAGGCGCAAGCTACATACAGAGCCTAAACTTACACCTGTTTCTGATGCATCTGGAGCAGAACATTCAATGTCTAGAACCCACTTATACTACACAACATGCCAAACCTGATATCAAATGCTTCTAAAAGGTCGCCTAAAAGGCCTTGCAGGCCTAAACCACAAGAATTAGGTATCTGGCATAGAACTTAACTACAGATGATAAAAGGGCATGCTAAGAGAACATGGCAGACTAAAGAGGGGCATTATATCAAAGATTGTCTATCTAGATCAAACTAGAAGAAATATCACAAACTACAACCCAGATTGTATAAAGTCTACATGATAAGCTAAACAGACAGTAACTGCTAGTTAGAGACACTCCAAGTACTAATGATAGCACTCTACGAGGACTAATCCATACAGATGAAATCTACTTTGACTCTTCAGATGATGAACAGCATTCCCTGGTGAAACGGATAGTAGGAGACCTTCTAGTACTTGCTGTGCCTATCAGTGCGCAATAAGCAAATCTAGAGGAATCTGCCTGGAACTTCTATAGGAAAGCTTAAGCACCTGCATGAAATAAAGAGCATCTCTATCTCGCATAAGGGTGGTACCGACTACTGCCACTATAGCCTCCCCTGCCATACATCCCACCTGCTCCACCATAACTAGCACCTGGACCTGAGTCATAACCACCGCCATAGCCTGAACCTCCATAACCACCGTAGCCTTCACCTCCTCGACCATATCCACCTAAACCGCCTCCACCATAGCCTCCACCGTAGCTGCTACCATAGGGTCCAAAGCGACTAGAATAACCGAGGGAAGACTCCCCTCGATAACCTCCTAAGCTACCACCTCCAAACCCCCCATAACTACCGCCGAATTCACCACCACCACTACCATACCCATACCCGCCAAGTCTACTGCCAAAGCCTCCAGGAGTCCTATATGGACCAGGCCCATAGCCTCCATCAAAGCCCCCATAAGAACCACCAAATCCACCAAAGCCATCATTGAAAGAGCGACCCCTAGAATTGCTACCAAATGCAGATGAAGGAGGTGGGTTTGAGGCTTTCTTTGGTTCAGCTTTCTTGATCTCCACCTACAACAAAGCATTTTAGTTAACCTAATTTATGCTGCATAATACCATAATCATTGCCCTTTCCTGAGGAAACCTATACCTGCTATAGTCTTCGTCATATTTAGAAATAAAGCCACTTGACATATTTATTTTAATACAGGTCTCAAGAGGATATCAATATCGATAATGAAATAGCATTAAATGATGCAGACAACTGCAAAAACAAGTATCTGTTTACAAGTTGATTTCTCATAAACAATCTTAGTAAACTCACCTTAGTACCGGCCATTTCTATCATATTTCCCTTAGACAACATATCATCAACAACTTCTTCACTATCAAAAATTACGAACCCAAAGCCTCGAGATCGATTAGTCTCATGATCTCGGATTATCTGATGTTCAACAACTTCTCCATACTTAGAGAAGAAATTCTTCAATTCATCTGCAAAGTTTGACAAAACAAGATGGCCATTGGTAACCATCATCTGCCGAAGGAAATCCAGTAATTATACTAATTACTCTCGACTGAAGAATGAAAATGTCGGGAAAAATTGATTGCACCTTCCGTGACAGTTGATGGAATACCACCAACAAATATCTTCTTCGTCTTAAAATCCTTCGATTGACCTGAACCTTTAGGAATGGTCCTCTTGATCTCAACCTGCTCCATTGGCAAATGATTTGTCATACTTTTACCATATTAGAGCAAAACCTGCTGTAAATTGTAAAAAAAAAGATAAAGAGCATAGGGGAAAAAAGGCAAGCCCGAAATTTTGATCCATTTAGCTACCGAACATGGAAAATTCACTAATTTTGAACATATTCTAGTGATTGTACGCACCAACTCCATGTCCTCACATTTCAAAGAACAAAATAAAAGCTGGAATCTTACAGTGCCATAGTATTTGTTGTATAGTAGTATATACTCTTTAAACTGTAAAACTACATAAATACTTCTATGAAACAACTATCCAAAGAAAACTTTGTTATCTAAACAAATCACAGAGCTTTATCACGTTTCATATTTATTCAGATATTCGTATAAGAAAACACATCATATCTATATCCCTTTCATGGGCCATGAGTGTTTTCAAATATGTGTGCCATAGAGCGTGACAAGGAAAAACGAAATAAATCAATTAGTTGATAAAACATTTTAAGAAAGAAAAGACACTTAGTCGCAGATTAAGTGCTTCATGATATAATGAAAACACTGGACACCTTAAGCAATGTAAAAGCTCATCCTTAATATTTATGTGAATGGCGCAATTCTCTACATCTCCGAGCAGACAGTGTAGGTAGTTGGTAGTCTTTCAATAAAAGATATTTCAACCATTCATTGAAACTTTTCAAGTATTTGTGTGCTACAGCACTTTGTATTCAGATTACGACACAAAGTACATCTTAACAATGTGTAACAACCAGTATAGACAATAGAAGGGACCTCGCGCTTGTTTAGTGAGCAACAAAGCGACAAGAAGAGATAAATGAACCAGCAGGACAAAGACGCTGCCTTTACCTGCTTCCCATTGAGGATATGTTCATCCTCTATAACTTTGTCAACCACCGAAGGATCAGCATAAGTGATAAATCCAAAACCCCTAGGTTGACCAGTAAATCGATCTTTCATTATCACAGAATCCGTTATCTCCCCATATTGCCCGAAGTGCTTATTGAATGTTACTGTATCCACAATAAGAAGAAAGACAGTTAAAAAAAAAGGGGTACAAAAGCCGGTTGACCTATAACCCTTGTAGCATCTAGGCAGGGCATATGAGCACCCACAAATACATCCTAACTCAAAACTAGTGAATTGTAACAAACCCTATGACACAGCAAAACGCAAATCGAAAAGATAAAACTAGCCATAGTATTGTGCATAAAACATGCACTACTGATGACTGCATGAGAGAGACAGCAAAAAGCAGAGGTCTCACCGTAAGTAACATCTTTCGCTAGTCCTCCGATGAAGATCTTCCTGCATCGCAAAATTCACAGATTAGGAGCCCTCACAGTAAAAAAGAACATGGTCCATCGGGTGAGGAACTGGCAAAAAAAAAGAGACATCGTGCGATTGCGAGAAGAGCTAAAATTCACAAATTTCCGACAGATAACTATCTGAAGTCCAACAATCAAGACAACATCGACTCCCTCCAACGACACTAAGACGGCCAAGAACTACACAAGAAGCCCGTTCCGGGTGAATTCACCCCATCGAGGGCTTCGTTTCCAAACCGCGGGCGGCTACGAACGGCAAGAAAGGAAGTCTTTCCTCCAGCCATCAAAAGCCCTTCAATCAAAGCTTGTCTCGCTTTCGATTGCTCACAAACATGCACATCGACGAAGTAATCACGAACATGCAAATCTACAGGATCCTGCCTAGGGAGAGAGAGAGAGAGAGAGAGAGAGAGAGAGAGAGACTAACCCGGGGCTGGCTCCATCGCCGGAGAGGGGATCGTTCTTCATCTTAGAGCCCATCGATCAGGCAAGAGCTTCGTGATTGAAAACTCTGCGGAAGTCGCGAGACGGGAACGTATCCGATCGACCCTGCGTATCGAGTGCGAGAAGAAGAAGACGAAGACGAAGAAGGAAGAAGGAAGAAGGAAGAAGGAAGAAGCTAGGGTTCCGTCTGAGCCACGCGAATGTGGGGAAGAAGTATATAAGAGGATGATTTTTCTGTTGAAATGTCAGGTTTGCCACTCAGGTGAGGTCACAATCACGGATTTGCCAATCGCGTTTTCGTGTTCTTCTTGCCCCTCACGTAAATCGAAGAGAACCGACATAAGTATTCCGCAAACTTTAGCCTTACATACAAAGTGGTATATGAATTTTTAATTTATTCAATATGATCCCTGAAGTTTTTGTGAATGTTCAATGTAGTCCCTACACTATACGACGATGTCCAATGTTATCCTTCCGTTAATTTAGATTCGAGGACAATATTAGATATTTTCCATACAACATAGGGACTAAATTGAATATATACCAAAAGTTCATGGACCATATTGAATAAATTAAAGTCCATGGACGACATTGCATATTGGATTAAAGTTCAGGGATCACATTGAACAAATTAAAAGTTGAAGGACCATATTACACATTAGACTAAAGTTTAATGATCATTTGTGAAATTATCCCTAATTATAAAGATTGTACTCACACCCCTCATCTTTTCGATTCGCTAAATTGAATGGTTTCGACTTATTTTTTTAAAGTGTGTTTATTTCGCGAGAATGAACAATTTAATAAACATTTTCTTAAAAATGATCGCTTATATCGCTTTAAATAATTATTTAATTGAAAACATTTTCATCATTGATAATAATTCATGTTTAAATATTTTAGTAGGCGATAGAAATGTTTTTTGTTCATTCATTGAAGTAAGCGACAAAAGCAAGCATTTTTTAGGAATATATTTTTTTTAAATCATTCATTTTTTGAGAAATACTTGATAGTGTTTTTGTGTCGTAAACCGATAGATCTGTTCAAGCACGAAAAATAAACATGGTGTGGTTAACTCTTTGAACTTGTTTACCGTCCGCTTATGTACATTTAACTAAATAGGTTAACGTACAATTTGTACTAATGTGACACGTTGAGAAGTAGAAAAGTATGATTGGACATTTCTCGTCATATTCTATATTTGTTTATGTATAGTAATCGGCCAAATCTACCGTGTTGATGGCAGCAGAGAGTTCAAACGAATGATTTCACATGATTGTTTCCCTCTAAACGACCGTACCCAATGCCTGAAAACATTCCTTTCGTGGTAGGAGTAAAGTGAGAAAATCTTGTACCAACTAAACAGAGATAACATTAGTAAAATAGAACAATAATAACATATTTCGCCGGCGTATTTTATTTATTTATTTATTTACAGAAGCGGCTTTTTACACCGTTGATTTGAGAGAGTGGATAGCCATAAATAAGGATAGATGGATCTACTCCCATATAATTCTTTTGACGCTCGAAGTGTATGCACGGTTTTTTCCATAAGAATAAGCGCGGAATGAACTTTCCTATATTCAATGGTATTCCTCGAATACTCTCAAATCCTAAAACTCGTAAGAAACAATTTAAATCGAAAGCTAAACAAGATAATCTCTAGATTCACAGAAAAATGCGCTAATCTAATGGTCAAATTTCAGGCAATATTTGCGGGGTTATGTACATCGGGCTCTGAAGTTTGTTCACCGAGCGACTTGGTTGATACAGGCAATGTCTGCTTCGGAAGGCGCTTCCTCGATGTCTCCAAGGGTCCCTTCAAATTCAGAGACGTGTAGACCGACATCCCGCAGAGCGCCGCGGCGGCTCCGCAGATGCTCGCCGACCCCGGATCGGAGTGGAAGAAGATGTAGCCCCCGAGGAGGATCACGCACGTTTTGAACTGTCCTAAAACGACGTGAGAAGTGGCCGAGGTCGCGCTGCATAAGTTGCCATGAACAACATTCTGTTAGCAGTTCCCACTGATGTAACGAAAGAGGCTCGAAACAACAGGGCATCACGAAACGAATGGATGGCATGTAATTTCGGTTTCGTACCCTAAAGCCAATGCGCCGGACCACTGCAGGAGAAAGCCTAAGAGAGCCGAGATCAAGATCGCGCTCGAGTTTCGCAGGTCCCAGTTGAAAGATAGCACTCCCGGAGGGTCCAGCAATGGCATCAGCGGCAACAGGAAAAAGATAGTGATCGGGGTAGTCTTCCACATCAACCTGCGCTCGTCAAAGTCGATGGTTAGAGCAGTTGTGCGATAATCACAGCGCGGAAGATACAGATCTTCGTCTGTTGCTTACGCTAAGGCGGTCCAATTGCTTTGCTGTTGCAGGTTAGACCAGAGGATCTTATTTATTGCGCTGGGGATTATCCAAATAACAGCGATGCAAAAGCCGTACACATTGAACTCCACATCCGTCACGGTCGCAACAGCCACGCCGAGCGAAACGACTACCAATGCCAAGACCTGAATATGGAATGGACATTCATATACAGAGGAAAGAGCAAGTTCCAGAATGAGTGAACATGACTTTTGTAGCGGGAATTTCAGCTAGTCCCTGACCTTTTCCGAGGAAATCCTCTTCTTGAAAAGCACGAACTCAGAGAGGACAATGGTTGGAGTAACTGCTATCTTAGCCATTTGGTAGAATCCAACACTGCACAAATTCAGCTCATGATCTTAATTGCCAGGCAAACAAAGAGAAGATGTCTATGATTAGTCCAGACAAAGATCATAAGAGAGGACCCTGAAAGCTAGTTAGGACCTGTTGTGCTTCAGGCTGGCGTTGGCGAGGCCGGTGGCAAAGGACATGACAGCTCCTAATGCGAAAATGGAAGAGAAAGGCGTGGTTTTGGACGGGGGCGACACCGGCAGCAGCGACAGCGCCTTGAAAATCGCCATCAGAACCCAGGCGGTGCAATAGTGGATCAGCGTGAGGAAAATCGGAAAGTTGAACCCGATTTTCCCCATCACCTGCGGTCACACTTACCGATTGAGCAGAAGCCAAATAATATGCTTAAATGGATCAACCAGTATGCCGAAACATGCCGAAAAACGTTAAAAAACTGAAAGTGGACGGAAGATACGAGGGACGGACCGATTTATTCGTGAGGATGATCCCCACTGCAACCATGAAGTTGAAGGTCATTGCTACGACCGGGCCACAGAACCGTTGCTGTTGGCGCTTGGCGCCTTCCGACGTGCAGAGCTCATTGTGGAGAGAGCTTCTGAACTCTTCCAGCGCTCGACCTGGTAATGACCCATGTTAGGCTCAGGAATTCTTACTTTTATCTATCATACACGTGCACTAGCCAATTCTGTCTAGAGATTCATCTGATAATCTAGTTTTGCATAGGAAATTTAATCACTTGCTCAAGAGAATGAGACACATGAATGATTAACACCATTGAATTATTGGGTTTCTTATCACTAATAGATTTGCTAATGCAGCACTCTGATTATAAGTACACGGAAAAGCAAAGTAACTAGAGAAGAAACGGACAATATAAGAAGGTATTTAGTCGAACGGCGTCACTCACATTACTAAATTGCAGAGCAAAACAATCTCGGCAACAACGAGAGAGAAATCGAAAAGGCATTAACAGAGCCGGAGATTGAACAGAAGCGCGAAACCGAATTGCCCAAAAAGGAAGAAACATCATGAAGGACCTCAAAAGAGGACACTTTCAAAACTCATGTAAATTCCAACACAGGAGATCGAATTTTCCTGACAAGGCACTGAGCACATCACACGAAACTCATCAAGACCACGACGACAATGCAGGCAAATTCACGGCACCCTTCAACAGTTTTACCCGCGTCCCCGGCGTCGCTGTCCTTCCTCTTGATGAACTTCCTCGCGCCCCGATCCAACAAGGGTTCGAGGACCCCCACGCCGGATCCGGCCGCGGCAGCATCCGCCTTACCGTTCATCAGTTCCCGTCGAGAGCCGCGCGAAACCGACCTTGCCACGGGAGAGAACAGAAGGGAACCTGCATTCCCATGAGAGATGCGGAAACAACACGAGAAACGGGTGAACGCAGAGGAGGGACGAGGAAGATCGAGAGTTGTTTTCCAATGTGAAGGCTCAACAAACAAACTGACGATGGTTAGCTACAAAAGCTTTTTTCCTTCTGGCTGTTGTTGGGCCAGTAGCGAGGTGGGTTACGTGACCGGGAAGGGAAGTTCTTCGAGGGAAAGGAATCATCATCGAGAACAAGTCAACGTCGAGATCTGTCCCCCATCATCGATTGGTGGTGAGTTTTGAGATGGGATTTAGGAGTTTGGGAATGCGTATCTTTCTTCGTGGATTTCTTCCCTTCGCACTCCACCAAAGGTCTTTTGCTTTCGAAGCAAACCCGCACGTGCCTTAGGTTTTTTTGAAGGGTACGATGTTTCCAAGGTCTTCGGGTTTCATCATCGTTAGAGCTATGGTGTGATCTTAGAGATAAAAGAGTTCAAAAAGTTTTGCACATGTTGACAAAGATATTTTCTTGTGTTAGAGATAATTATGATATTTCTATTGATTCTTTATATTTTTTAAGATCGCGTATATCTCATAGGATCGTGTATGATTTGATTCATAAGGTGTGATTCTTTTTTTTAATCTGTTAACCCAATGGATTAGTTAGTATGGCTAATTAAGGTTTGAAATTAATGAAAAGGCGTTGCGCCACGTGCACCGCGCTTTTCTTTAAACAATCTGAGCTAACCAATTAGTTAGTATGTCTAATTAAGGTTTGCTGCATTCACTTTTCAAAGAGCGAATGTTATGAACGGAATATCAATCTGCCACGGATCGTGCCAAATCAACATAGATCGCTGCGACCCCGGTGTGGGCCGACGACAAAGGGCAGCGCTGCCACCCTCCAATCCCCTCCCGCTTTATTTTTTTCTAGTAAAACGAATTGATTTTATTTCTTTATTTTCCTGTTTATTTTTTACTTCTTTAGCTTATATTTGACACGGAACAATGTTAGTTTTGGGTTTTAACTGGTTCCGTTGGCTTATTGATAGCTGGATGAAAATATTACTAAGAAATGCCACATTACACTATTTTATTTCTATCCACTAAAATGTTGACGGAGCTATCGGAAGGGCGACGATAAATTTCAAAACTTAAACGCAGCAAAAAAAAACTTAAAATTTTAGGACTCAAATGTCAAATTGACATAAGTTTTGGAACACTTACCGTAATGATCTCAATTTAACTTAATACTCCCTTATCACGCTAGGCCGGATAAAGTGAGAAAGGCAAATGGGGGGGTCGGAACCACGCGAGAATTCATGGGACCGCTATTAATTGCTCTAAAAAATTTTAAACCGTAAGATGAAAATGCGATTTAATATTTAAAAACACTCGAAAGAAAAGAAAAGAGTAGTCAAGAAACAAGTGATAGCCCAACATTCAGACATATGCTCGGATCTTGCAAGTGGCCAGATCCAGCTATCCCATCATCGATTTGATTGCTTTATCCAATGTTTCAAAACTGACCCCTCCTCCAAGCATAAGTGCTATCACATTTCGGCTTCGGATTTTGATTTTTTTTTTTTTACATTAATCTCGCTTCATTTCACTTTTAAAGCCAAAAAAAAATAAGCCGAGAACTCGAAGAAGAGTAATTTTACGTTGCGCTTTAGCTTTTATTCTTTTCTATGTCGGAACTCTTATTGTCTTAAAAAGTCAAAAAGTCGAGGGCGAAAATTGGACCGAGGATTTCCTTCGAACAAGCCCTTAGGAGGGCCTATATAAATTCTAATGACAGGAAAGAGATGAATTGCATGACTTATGGTAAGTTGACATTCCAATGTAGCATCAATGGAGCTTATTCCTAAGTCAAACCATATGCTTACATTCTGGCCAAGAATAAATAATTAAACTGCATGCTTATGCACTCGAATGTAATATCGACGAGCCGACCGTACCACGCATGTATGATGCCGACCCTCGTCACGTTTTTTATGTGATTTCTGCGAATTCGACGAGACTAGCACGTTTGATGGCGGAGTTTGTAAAATTTATTAAGATGATGATGATGATGTTGCTCGATCTCTGTGACGTTGACCCTCTAAGCTTGATCTACCTAATATTTAGGCGTGATTATGGAATCGGATAACTTCGTGGCCCAAATAGAAGTAAAGTGAATCGGCTAACATGGTAAGAAGCCAAGCCACCAATGAATATCGAAAGCGACATGTCGTTTCAAGGTTTCGAGAAAATTGCCTACATCCCTCCCAATAGAAAAAACTAAATAAATCCTATTTTATTTGGACAGTATCAAAATTGCTACTTTTGCCCGCCTCCATAATTTTTGGACTTTCACGCTTTTTTCAAAGGGTTAATATCACAAAAAATCTTAAACTGATACATCTGTGATAAATTTACCCCAAACTAATTTTTTGATCACAAAAAATCCTAAACCGGTACATTTATAATAATTTTATCCTCTGTTAGTTTCCGTTAAATTTTACCGTCAAATTTCTGAGTTGGATGACACGTGGCAATTGACAGGTGTACCAGTTTGGGGTTTTACCCTCCATTTGTCACAAGTGTACTAGTTTGTTATTTTTTGTGGTATTAATCCAATTTAAAGGAGGGTAAATTTGTCACAAATGTACTGGTTTGAGGTTTTGGGTGATAAAAAAATTTATTTTTAGTAAATTTGTTACAGGTGTACCAGTTTATGATTTTTCGTGGTATTAACCCTTTTTTAATCGAATATTTATACATTTAATTTATTTAATCAGGTTTTTTTACATTCTATAATTTTTTTTGATCAAGTCCCTCCAATACAAAATCCGATCAAATCTAGCCGACATGGCTGTCCGATGACACGTAGTGTGACGTGGATAAAATTTTATAACGTGGATCTCCACGTTGGCGTATCTACATCATATTCTCACGTAATTTATATTGGTTGCATTGTCCACATACATTCATGTGGGCATTGACATATTTTACTTGCATCATACTTCTGTGCCGTCTGACAGCCATGTCAGCTGAATTTGATTAGATTTAGTGGTGAAAGAGCTTGATTAGAAAATCTGTGAAATTAGAAGGAATTAATCAGAGCATTGAAACCGCAAGCTTTTCCTTAGTTCGATGCTCAACCAGTGCCGTGAATGCACTCTTTAACTTAATCTTAGTATTTAGCGGATTAAGTTGATCTACTCTACACAATAAAACTAATGCTCTTGACAATGCTTTGCAAAGGTCTTATCTTTAATTTTTTTTAAAATATTTTTTTAATTATTGAAGGACTTTTGTCATGCGTTCGGATCTTCCACCGCAAGAATCTCTAACTTCGTCGACTTGCGCTCTAATTCATAGATTGCTTGCAATTGCTATCAATTCCGTGGTTACGGTTATCCTTTGATTGGTCAACTCTTCTAGACTCGATCTTTGATTTATGTGCATGTTTCGAGTCAATCAATCGTGACCACGTGTCATGTGCTTTGCCAAAACTCTGCCGGTTTGGAAACTCATGCTCGTTGAACTTATGTTGCATTTCATCGACGGGTCTTGTTGGTCAAATTTCCTTTTATGGCCTTAATGATCAACAAGCTCGTTAAGCATCCCATCGATCTGGTTTCATGGGTTACGCATATTTTGTAGTGGCCGGGTTTGGGCCATCATCTTTTTATATTCAAGGCCGAGATTTGGGCCTGGTGTCGACCCACGAACAAGATCGAAACTAGGGATAAGCGGTTTCCGGTCCGGTCCGGTCCAACCCAAGAACCGGGAATTGGACCGAGAGGAACGGTTCCCAGTTTCTAGGACCGAGAACCGGACCGGCTAGTCTTGGGACCGTGGACAGGTTCCAATGGTTCGGTCCGGTTGCATAGGAAGATGATGGAAGTGTGAAAGCCAGCTTTAAAGCTGGCCAATCTTCATTGCTTCCATCATCTTCCCATGCAACAATGGCCATAAGAGAGCTGCTGAAACAAAGGACTCGGTCAATGGTCCGGTCCGCTTCCATCATCTTCCTATGCAACATTAATTTTTAACCGATGTCAACAATAATTTTTAACCGAGTATCAACATTAATTTTTAACCGGTTCCAATGATTCGGTCCGGTTCCCACCCTAGAACCGGGAACCGGACCGTCTGGAAACCGGTTCTACTTTTAGGAACCGGGAACCGGACTGATATTCCCGAGAACCGGACCAAATTGGTCGGTCCGGTCCGGTCTGGTCCGATCCCAATTTGGATAGTCCATCTTGCTCACCCCTAATCAAAACACCGAAAGCATAACCAACGAATTCGAATTCACCCCATTAAATTAGTGTGATTTCCATATCCTTAATTAGGAAGGGGGATTAATCAAAATGCAAGCCTGTGTTCTCATGAGCTGCTGCTGTCGGTCCCTCCTGCATTAGGGCATATTCATATGCAAAAGCCTGAAAGCAACTCCAGCAAATTGACAACCAAAAGAGACATTAAAGGAAAAATCCGAGCTTGTAAACAACTTTTGGTCATATGGTTCCCACACAGCCAATGACAGCCACAAATTCCACCCTATCCAATCTCTCTAGCCTCTACGTTAGGGCCCCATTGCCAGATAATCTTGTTGGAGTTAGATCAAGAGAGGGGTTTGATGCTCGATCCTCCCATTTTTACAATTACAAAATCCTTGTTTAGCGGATAAAATCACGGTCTTATTTACACATAGAAAAAAAAAGTCACGCCTTTATGAAGTATTCTGTCAACTTCATTAATTGGGTGAGACGTGAGCTAAAATTTACACGGGTGTACCCATGTGCGAACACAAACTTGTTTACATTGGCCGGTGGAATGTGACGGATCGAATTCGTGCCGTGACTCTAATTCACACCTACAAGTTTTGTTCTTTAACCACCGTAACCTCTCTTGGCTCTCCCATCGCAAAAAAACCCCAAAAAGAAAGGGCGATGCTATTTCCAACCCATATATGATTAAATCCACCTCGTTTTCACTAAAAATATAAGATTGTCCTCAATCATTCACTTGCAATTTAAATTGGTGGTCCCATTTCTTTTTTATTTGTTATTTTCACTTCCACTTAGAATTTTTTTTTTGTTAATTAAGAATTGCACATATATTGTTTTGGTCCATTGTGGGTATCCCATATATATAGAAGGCACTATGTTTTCTTTCTTATTTTTAGATTTTACTTTTGTAGAAATAAGTTTTGTCGAAGAGAAAAATTTCCAAGAAAATATATATCAAGTCTTTTTATTTCA